AGCCCGCAAAGCATAAGTCGGAGAAGGGTTACAACTTAAAGAAGCGAATAAGTAAGCCTGCTTAGATTAGACCGATTGAGCTGTTAGCAGTTAGGTGCAGAGATCCAAAGATGTGTAGACATGCAATCTATAAACATTGCTCCTGGCTATCGTGCCAGGCTCGGCTACGATTGGCAGTATATGTAACGTCCTTTTTTGCAGCAGTTATTCTGTATTTGTGAGCAAATAATTTTCGTTTATACATTCTTCAAGACAATGGACATAGTGCTATATATATGGACAATATTTTTAGTGCTAGACTTATCATCCTTGTTTATGGGTGAAACAATCCCTCGCACAGCTCTATCAATTGGTAGTTTGTGTTGCAATTTGTCAAGAACACGTACTATAGACTGATACACTAAACGTGCCTTTGACAATAGTAACGTTTCTATTTTCTCGATCATTTGAGAATTTACAGTTACTTAGAAGCTTTACTATCTACTGAAGCGAATTGTGAAAAGGGCAAATGCTGAAATGAGTGCACAGGTTTGCTTGATAGCCCAAATAATAGCCATTGCCGAATTATTTGGGCAATCAAAAAAATAATTTTACGCAATTTAGTTGAATCACTAAATTCAATGGACGCCTTGGTCACTTGTAACGATCAACAAACATCTTTACGCGTGCTCCTTTTTACCTAGTCTCTGAAGCTAGCCCAATACGAAAGTAGTTTCGAGTGCAAGAGGCCGCTACCCTAAAACGTCAGTTCTACTGACAATGCGAGAACTTGACTACGCTTTAGACGCTACGTAACGAGTATCCAATAACGCATAAACACAAAAACATTGACGAATCGAAACGGACAGGCAATACTGAGAAACAGATTACCAAACAGTATCTTAGGAAAGTCGTACGCCGTTTATTTGTTATTAACGAACTAAAGACGATACACGTTTGGTTATTCCGGTTGGGCCCTGATGGTTTTCGAATTTGCCGCCGTAATATGCACGTCGACACCCCTCAGCTAGGGATCGATAATAGCGAATCTAATGATTCTAGTCGCTACTGGTTAGACCCTTTTCATGTTATGGAATAGGATATTCAACTATATTTTATCGCCTGAAAATAAGTTACTCTAGTGCGACATATATATATATATATATATATATATAGCAGAACGTCATTCATTGTTAATAAAAATCGCATCAATAGGACTGCGAAATAAGCTAGTCACTTCTATTCTGAAAAACCGTAATAACAACAACAACAACAACAACAATAACATAATTAGCAATTCTAATTAAATGAATCGATAGATCGATAATGCAAACAAGATATACGCGTTCTGTTTATTATTAGTGAATCTGACATAGTGATTATAATAGTTTTTTCGAAGCAAGGCGTTCGTCCTCGCCGCGCATTGATAAGCGATGGGCTGATTTCGCTACCTGATCTTTGCGTTGTAACTAGACAATGCTTGTAACAATATGCAGCTTCTAACACGTCGCAAATCTTTCGCTGTTAGTTCCACACCGTTGACTGTCATTTTCTTTTACATTCTTACGTTCGTCATTCCGCTTTCTGTTCTAAGAGCATATAAAGGACAATGCCAGCCAGCAATACTGTCTACGAAGAGATCGTATCTAATCCAGATTTTTTTAGTGCGATCATGTCTTCCGTCGATAGATCGATGCAATCTGCTCTACAGCCTTGCATAACGTCAACTCACGAATGATTTCAAGAGCCACAGTTGTAACTTTCCGATAAGGAAGACCGCTGAGCAATGGTTTCGAATACGCGGAAGTCGATTTAGGTTAGGATACGCTGGATCATTCCAGATTAACGAATACGTAACTGGCATAGCTCTCATTCTGCCAACAACCTAAACACAGTAATGGCAGCAACAACGACTTTAACCGAAACTATGTAAATAATTTCATAACTACGTCAAAATTTTCCGTTTCGTTTCGTCCTTCGGGTCACGAACCGTAATAAGAAAAAAGGCTCAAAAGCCATTGTATCAAAGTATCCAGAAAATATAACGTATACAACGAGTTATCGTAATTAAAATGGTAGTGCCGGCAACAATTGCTTAAGCAATAGACATCTTAAGAGTTAATTCTATCGGAAACGCATTTAGCGGCCCGATTGGCAGGTTACCACGCAAACAACACGTAAATCAATTGCGTAATTATCACAATAACCAGGTACTTCAACAAAAAGATCTGCTGGGTCTTTGAAATATCCAAATAAAGCAATGTTTTATATTTTGTTGTTATATTATTTTTATAATATTTTCTATTATATTACATATATAATTCAAACATTCAATACTCTAAGTTGAAACGCTATTTTTGAACAACTAAAATTACCATAGTTATTAGTTAACTGACGCCCATTTTCTTGGAACGAGACTAGCAGTGATGATTCCAAGGTGAACTTAAGGCGATTGTTAGTTTATGCGCTCCTTTCAAGACAGGTCCAAAACACGAACGAAGCTGTGGGAAAGTAAGTTCCCATACGCTAGCCGTGAAACGCTATCAATAACGCTACAACACGTTTGGGTGATGTCTAATAACTGACCAGTATTAGCGGACTCGATGCTGTTGACTCGTTATCGCAATGAATCCACCGCGAAATTATATTTGTACGTATTCCAATCCAGACACACTTGGAAAAATAGTCCCTAGCCATGGGCCTACTGCCGACCTGCGTATTTCTAGGCTTGTGTGTATGCGTACGCCCTTTAAACCTCGCAATTCTATTGGACATGGCCAGCGTGGCGAGCTCGAGAAAGATTGAACTGAGGCAGGGCCAGTAAATGTTCAGCTCTCTTTTCTACAATTATCTGGGCACTTAGGGAAAAAAACGGAAGGGGCGGCACAAAGTGAAATCGCGGGCCTCCCACACAGTCTACTTTTTTCTTCCTTTTTTCTATCCCCTCTGTCCTTCTTGCCACCTTAACGACACCTGTGTATTCAAATAGTGCACCTTTAATCACCGTCCGCAATACACGAAAACACGAGTTGAGGCGAACGTAACTACAATTTTCATATCAGTCCAGCTATTCTTTATAGTGACTATCTATACATAATGATGCAATAGGAAGCGTGCAGTTCAGCCTGGCCAGTTTACCAGCGACACTTTGGTGAAGGTTTAAGTTAATTTGACGTAATTGGACGAATTTATCGCGCCTAACCGCCCTAACGTTATAAACAAACATAATTTGTCCGTCATAATTTTCAAGTACTCGGGCGGCATTCAGTCATCCAGCAAATGCACTGGATTCTCTAAAAGAGCGTGGCATAGTTTTCACGATGATTGAGGAGCAATGTAAATTAAATTATGAGTTATAGCTGGTGCCCATGCAGCTCAAAGATAACATGGTTTCTTTAACATACTAATCACCACAATTTCTATATAGACGTCTGACTATTTAAGAGATCTGGACGATTCCAAGTAGTCAACGCTTTCTAGCGAATGCCTGGCCTGACAAGGGCGTCCCTGGCCTGTTCGCCGCCAACGCAAAGTGACCGTGCAACGGATAATCGTACGATGTACTCTCTCTCCAGGAAATGACTTCTTCTAATCAGAATAGATACGAAACGATCTTTTCAAACTAACACGATGCCCAGCATACTTCGCATTGATGTATCAGTTTGCACTTCTTGTTTCGCAGTACCTTATCCGGCATGTGACCCAGCGACGCCACGGAATAGCCGTACGAATCCCTCTTCAAATTTCTGTAGAACCGACGCAGCCGTCATTATAATGCTAGTAATATTAACGGGAATTGATTATCAAAATATACGTGTTACTCGTTCTATTATTAACCATTAACATTTCCTAAAGATATACGTGTATTTTTCTATAGTTCAGCGCAATCGCTTAGCATCCAGAGGGTGCGTATAGAAAATCTACTCGTTCCATACCATATCAAGTTCTATATCAAGCCAGACAACCATAATGGTGTCCATCAAGATCCTCGAAAGCAACTCCTGTTAACCTTATATGGTCAGCAAAAAACGACGTCAAATCGATCCGGTTTGATGGCTGTCAATATAAGGTTGTCTCCATTTCGTTTTCTGGAGGTAGGTACCTTAAACAGCAACAGACTTGGATACGATTCGAGGAGCTGACAGTAATTACAAAATTGCGCAATATTTTCTACAACTGATCCAGCTTCCAACTCTCAAGTTCACCGTGGAGACGACGTTATACGCCTATACATATATGCGTAGAAGCAATCCGCTGCGAAAACTGATCGGGTCCTGTCGAGATCCCGCGCGCGTCGTATACTGGGTATGAAGGAAAAGAGGATGAATAGGCGATGAACAGTTTGCCTAGACATCCCACAAAACTTACACGCATAAGGCACTATCACGCCTCCACCGCTCCTGTGGCCGTAGTCGAACGGCTGCTTCGAAGATCACTAGTGTAGATATATCTACGGTAGTGACATATATATAAAAGCTAGTTCTCCTCTGCACCGCGCGGAGTGCTATGTTGCGGGTGCCGCTGTCGCTTCTATGGCGACCACTAGCACAGTTGCCGTTGCCACCGCGCAAGATTCAGCATTCATCAAACAACCTTCCATATTCGCCCCGTTTGTTCGTCGTCGACCGCAATCGCTTGTAGTCTGTTGCCCCAGGTCCAAGCAGGCCTGACAGACGAAATTGGCGGACGAACAGGCGGCAGCAGGAGAGCCGCCGTACCGCCGTGAGCCGCTGTTTCCAAGGGCATTCGAAAAGCTAGTGCCGCGTTACAGCTGTCGAGCCACTGGAGTCGACGGGACGAATGCTTCAAACAAATACTAATAGATAACTTCAGATATGACGCTGCTGTGTCGAATAGAAAAAGACGGCAATTTGTTTGGTTTATCTCTCTCTCTCGCTCTCTAACTGATTAACTGTTCTGCATTTGTTAATGCAAATACTGCTAGCGAGAAAAATGCCAGCGACAACAAATAATCCGATAAAGATCTGGTCTAAAACTGTGTGAATCACCGGTTTCATTACTATTCAAGTAATCGAGTTGGGTATTGTAGAACGCCGCGTAGATAGTTTCGTTGCTTTTCAATGGTGTTATGGTACAGTGCAGATACTTTCATTGGGAATCGATGCTGAGTCATCTGATCGTCCTGCCTTTTTACTAGACGAAAAGTATTATCTTGCTAGTTGAGATCTGTAAAGCATGACAACGTCTTTCGAATTAGCCCCATTTATCCGTCAGCTCGATTTCTAAATAAAGGAGCCCACTTCGGTTCACCTCTCCAGCACGGTGTTAGCGATACGACTAGTTTTTGTTAGGACGTAGACAAGACGACTTTAATGCAAGTCCCTCTACCACTAACATGAGTATATACATATTTATGTAAGCATCATCGCACTGTACCAGGTACATGATAACAGCTGGAGTACATCGTCCCTTTAACTTTCTGTCTGTCTATTTCTGTCAGTGTCGCACTTTCACCTTTCCATTTGACGCGTGATTTGATCGCGTACTATTTATTTATATTGATTAAGTTACACATACGTATGAAAACGAACGATCGATCGATCGTTTCGTTGGGTTGTCCACTTACCTCGCCTGTTGAGAGGCCGCACCCTGACCGCGACCTTCACTTTGTCACACATTTTTACTGCTTTCAGTTACACACACAGCCACAATGATACGCGACTTACTGATGTACGGAAAACAATAGATTTCACTTGCCCACTGCACTAATTACTGATCCTGCGATTGACTACTTGACTACACTGTCGACTAGGGCCGGGCCGGGCTACAGTTTTGCTATATTTGATGATAGCGGTGCTGCTGCTGCTGCATTTGTTGGTGCCTATTAATAAAAATACGCCTGCCTTCGTATGTTGTCGATGGTTTTTCTCTCAAAGGGCTCAGTCAGAATTTTCGGAGATCGTTCGTTACCGTTGTCATTGCCATCATCATAACGTTTTCAATCCGAGCCGTTCAACGCGACCTTTCGTGTCTGTCTTTTCCTGGTTCGTTTTTTGCTTTTGCCCTGTTGCTTGCTTGCTGTATCCAGTCACTACTAATGTTCGTCATACGTATCTTGACAGATGAAGACGTTCTTCAGCGCGATCTCCGATTCCGTTTGCGCCTACGTCGACTGGCTGCTAGTTAATTCGAAACAGATTGAGGCCGCTGGCGTCGTGGCTGTCGCAGATCAAAACAAGAGTCGAGTGCGCGAATTCTAGCAGCCACATCAATAAGCTGGGACAGCGGCAGCAAAAAAAATTGCCATTTTCATTTTTCGAGTGACGCCAACGAGAGGAGCGGCATCGCAGATTACTTAGCAGTATTGTTATTGTCGTATAGAAAAATGTGTAGAGCCTAGATGCAGTAATAAAAATAGTATATCGTTTTTTCGATTGACGATGACCTTATAGCTGTATCCGTAACTGGAAATCTTGCTCTCGTTGACAGGACATGTAGATTTTAAGGTGTCTTATGTCCTTGTTTTCGATGATTGACTTTTCTTGCACTTCGTCGTTTCTACCATTGTAGTTACTGTTTAGAATTAAATTGCATTTTCTAATCGCTCCAAGCGGTGTTAGCAGAACGTAAAGAGCTATAACAACGACATTATGCTAATAGCCATACTAAGGCGCAGGCAATGACTATGATTCAATGCCTGCCTAATAAATAAACTTACACCCCCATCCGCCTTGCCCTATTCATGTGTTAGAGGGCCGCTACGAGGGGTAGACACGTTTGACAACCGCCAGAGGGATGACAGTAACAACGATCACTTGCTCTTGTTGTTTCTGCTGCTGCTGCTGCTGCCAGTTGTGGGCAGAAATCGAAGTCGGCGCCAAATTGGTGCGAGAGAATACTGACAAAAACGGTAACAACAGTTCACGTAGACTCCGCAGTTCTAACAGTAACGTGAGTTGATCGTAGCTGCTGCCGTTGTTGTCACGTTGTTTTTGCTGAAGCAATAGCGGCGGGAGCGATCTAATCGCTAATGGTAATGCTTACCACAACTGCTACGGCCAAAAGCGGTGCTGGCCAAGTCGTATTCATTCGAGGCATTCGCTATTACCACCTGTATCGCTATTACAGCCACGCCCGCAGTAACGGTATCAATAAGAGTATCGAAATGAAAAAAAAGAGGCAGGACGCAACGGCCAGCAGCGACAGAAGGTTTACTTTTATTGATACCAGTCAGAAATGTGATAGCAGCTGGGGCGCACGCGAAGGCCCGTCGCTTACTGCCAGCGTTTCCAGTACGATTCCATACTCCGAGGCCGCGTGTACTCTACTTCGTCGATATTTGACAGACGTTTTATAAAGGTCGGAGGAAGGACAGCACTCAGCGCGCGAATGATGACGACCGCGCTCACATACATCAACCGCTTGTTACGAAGAGGTCGTGCTAGGACAGAGTACAATGAGCCAAGAAATAGCAGGAGCCGGTATAAGCTATTTGCGTTTTTTTGTTGCCTGTTTTCCCTTCTTTTGCTGGGCAGCCAACTGAACTGTTCTTTCTCACAAAAAATCTAGGAGAAAGATGATACGGCAACACTCATACGATGCACAATGCCGTAGAAAAATGTACACCCGCACACACACACACACACACGCCCACACTCACGCGGTCAGATCCACTCCCTTGGATAGACACTTCTCACTTATTTTGTTCTCCACTCTTGGGCAGATTAGCGTTACTGAAGAACGCTGCCAGCGTCTTCTGTCAGTGTCGGATGTCGGCTTCGACTACGGCCACTGATTGCATCTTCTTCTCCTTCTGGTGATGATAGTGATAACGATGATTGCAAGAACACTCCGGTACAATAATGCTCCCACAAGCCTTCGTTCATTAGCGCTAACAACGCATCGTTAAATGGCTCAATGGCTGAACCCATTCGATGGCAACGGCGCCCGGCCGAGCAGTACCCGCTTGTCCTACTGCCAGTGGTAATAATAGGCGACGGCGGCGACGGCGGCGACGACGGCAGCAACGGTATTTGCTGTAACCTGCTGGTAAGTAGACTGGATAGTAACAGCGGCGGCAATTGCCGTAGTAGCAATCAACGCTGGGCTTTGTTGTTAATCTATCACAATATTCGCACTCTCCTTTTGCGCTAAGCAATAACAGCAGCAGCAGCAGCAGCCCCAGTTGTGGCTGGACTGCAGAGCATTTACTAGTAGTACACACACGAATGCAATGTTTTCTAATCATCGAGACATCCACACGGAGACATCACCAATTAAAATTGCATTTCACAATCAAATAATAGCTTCATATTGAATGATAAGCAAAGAACCACTCTGACCGATTTCAATGTTAAAGGTGCCCGTTGCTGTCCCTCCTTCACTACGGAACCAAACGTAACTCAACATAATGCAGCAGCCGATGACAGACTGGCTAAGGCGCTCACATCACGGCGCTATCACCACCCACCCCACAGGGGCACTCTGCAGTCCTCCGCTGCTGCTCTGCAATACCTGGCCGCCATCTTGGCACACATGTCTCGGGGGAAAGGGCGTGCGCCGACCCTCTCCCGATCTTCTCGCCGCGGCAGCGAAGGTTGTAGCAGATGGAAGCTGCTCGACTCAATAGAACGAACAGCGATATGAGTAACAGGGTGGTCAAAAGCACTGTGCCACCCCCTAGATACCGTCTGCTCTCACGGCCATTCCAGACAGTAAACAAACAGACGGACAACGCGTAAAGGGTGTCCTTTAAGCAACGACTTAATTTCATATAGTGCTCATATAGGTATATATACTTTTGTAGGCGGGTGAAGTACTGAAGCAGATTGCAAAGGGTTAATGACGATGAATCACTTATACAGTAAGTCGAAGAGTTCTAGAACTTAAAATGCATAAATTCAAATCCGCCACACAATTCGAGTCTGGAAACGCGCTTGCTCACGCGTTTATTGTTGGCCTGCTTGTCTTCTTGTCATTGTGTCATAAGTGGCAGGATGACGACGATGAAGCCTAAAGGACTCCCTGTCATGACTGTTTTTATTGATTGTGCTGATTTAGTTTATAATATGGAAGGGTAGAATTGGCGGGCGAACAAACGGTGTGCTCCTTCTTTCCCGATGTTTAATGAGTGACGAGCTAAGCTGTTGGCGGTCGCTATTGACATTTGTGCTAATGTTTATTTTGTGACCGTTGTTTTTGGACGATCGTAGTATAGCGGGTTCAGCGCTATACTGAACTCTTTCATCAGTTTGTTCTGTCCGAAATGGGTCGACGAAAAAAGAATCGGCAGGATGCTTCTACAAAGAAAAAGATGGAACTGGGTCTACGCACGAACTTCGTCAATTCAGAATGCAGTGTAGGTGATTATTCAGATTCTATAATAAACTGTCTCTTACTTTCTCTTATTTTTTTTTTCAGCAACTATGATTGCCAGAAAATTAGGGAGTATCGAACCCCGTTCCGGAGTTTTAATGGCTTTCTTAATTATGAAATACATAGGGTCAAAACAATAGATATATGTGCAGTAGAAAATATTTTTCAAAAAAAGCGCCTAAAGATTCCACAATAGTTTTTTCGACGAGGTTTCGTGTGAAGTCTGTGCAGAGATCGACTGACAGGATGCCTTTTAGAGGTATCACTGCACAATGTCTGCCACCAAAGAGGGGTCAAAAATAGTTATACTATAGTGTCGGATGTGAGTTAACAGTTACTGTAAGATTCGGTCGACAGCAGTTCAGGTGGGATCTGTTTTGATTATCTATTGAGAGGTAGAGGAAATCCTTTTTTCTTATATAGCAAAATTTTTATCTCGATAAATACTTCAAATAGCATTATATGCTGTCAGTATTAGCATATTAGATCGATTTATCTTACTAATTACTTGTGATTTTTGCCTTCCGTTTGACTGGCGCTTGTATAATCATATTCGTTCCCACTTGAACAGCATTGTCTTAACCTGCGTTTGTGTGATTGTTCAGTTGTTACATGATTCGAAGAGTTCGGCTCCGCCCAATGTGACAATCGATGAGTTGGAAAATAGTGAAATTGATTTGTCGATCAGATCATCATTTAGATCCGTCGGTACGTCAGAGAACGTAGCCCCATTTTCGAAAGTTGAGCTCGAAACCCTTCTCGCTCGAATCGATGGGCTGCATATGAGCGACCATGACAAGGCGTTGCTCCGGGTTCTGGAATCAATAATTGCAGAAGTAGAATTCGGCAATGCGAATTTCTACGACATGTACGTGTACTTTATTCACCGGTTGTGCATCTCTTCGGCAAAGGTTAGATAGTTGCTTATTTATAGACTAAGCTATTTTCTTGAAGCTTTTTGTCAGGTCAAACTGAGAAAATGGTTCGTCCTTTTTTTTAGTTCACCTACACGTTAAATTTCTCTTGAATATGTTGGGACTGTACTTCACTCGCCAAGCAACATATGATTAAAAATAGCTTTCTACAACGATTTCGGAAGTACAATCAATAGGTACATAATCTTCTAAGGTTATTTGTTTGGTGCAGCTAAGGGCCCCTCTCAGAGCAGGCCTCTAGTATTTTTTTCTAATTACGCACAAAATGATAATAGATAGAAGAAAGCCATGCAATTAAGTGATTGATTAAAAGTCATTTAACTATATTTAAGCAAAGCCGACATCTTTTGGTTCTGCTGCTTGTTGCTATTCTTATTCTATTATTCGCTTAGACCTATTCATTCTTCAGCCTCCTTACATATGCCTTTCTTGGTTACAGACCAGTACGAGTGCGCTTGTGGCATTAATGCGCTGTTTGGCTCGAGGCGATTCAACGAAATTAGTAGATTCGTTGATAATGTCCATCTGCAGATCGCTCCGACGAGCACTTATCGATCCGTTGGCCAAAGAAGATCTTGAACTGCTAATCAGCAGCGTTCTGGAGGAAAGCAGTCTTCATCTTCTACAGGAGCTTATCGTAAGGCCAATTCTGATTTGAAACTGGACTGAAACGTAGGCAGAGCTTCGGTCATGATAATGAAACATCAATTTAATTCTCAGCGAAATAGTTTTGATGGACTTAACCCCATTATACGATAATAATAATAATAATAATAATTTTCATTGACTCCTAGATGAATTAACTCAAAAAGACTCTTAAGGTGAGTCGGAGTGTTTGAGGCTCTCAACGGGCACTATATTTATTGTTTGTTAGTCATTTTTGTCGCTTTATCCAAAGTGAGCCAAGCTTGAGTATAGTGCCAGTGTGAAGTTGCTGTGGAAGTAAGCGCGTCTTACTTGCACTTTGCTGTCGCCAAGTTCAGTTCACTCTTTGCTACCAATTTGTAGAAGCTGATTCTTGTAGCAATTAAAATAATCCGAATAAAGCAAATTCTATTACTGACGACAACTGGAAAAAGGTGTCTATTTTAAATTCAGTGGGAAAAAAACGTGGGCAAAGAACAGACTGTCGAAAGCAAGCCACAGGTTAATGTAAAACAGAGTAAACAAAGGCTAAAACCAGTGCAAAACTGGCAGGGTCTTTAGATTATAATCAGATTGAAAACGTGTCGAATTGCGCCAACGACTAGATTCATATATACCCACCCGAATGTACGAATGCAGGCGGCTTCGTTCCTTCAGATCACTCCGTGAGCTTCCAACACAATATGGATTCTGATGCCTTGCGTAATTTGTTTGCTTTTTATTCCTAGACTGCGAATGAGTTCGCCATTTTTCGGAGGACGTGTACAATGCCACCAGATCGCGAGAAGGTATCACTTGCCTTAAAGGCTGCAGGCTGCGCTTTTACTAGTATCGAAGATTTGTTGGACAATGTGAATCGCATAGATGCTGAGAACTCAAGTTGTGTCAAACAGGTTTGTTACAGGGGTTGCTTTTCACGGCGGTCTCGTGTCTGACTTTAGAGAGTGTTAAATAAAAAAAAAACTGGTTTGTAAAACTAATCTATTGCATGAATCGGCCGATTTTTCAATGTTTCACGATCGTTTTGTGTTTGATAACCTAGTAGTCTTCGAGTAGCATTAGACAATTGTGATTATAGAACTTACCGTTTCCTAGGATCGGATATTTATCTTACTTCTATACGTCCACTTTGCAATGACAAAGGGTTATAATACTGTTTTAACTTACAACACCACTCTGTTATGCAATAGACGACATTTGGCCTTTCTTAGCAATTTAATTTTCATTATGTACCCGTAACTTCTGGCCTTATAATGCATTCATTTCGTCTGCGCTTAGAAAACTGTACTGCGTAATGTTCAGATGTTCCATATAAGTTCATTGTTCTCGTCCCTAGGTAAAGTTGATTTTACATTCAGTTTTCACCAAAAATCGGGAATTTCTGGAAACGCATGCGCGCCCTTTGGTGGAAACATCTCAACGGATTGGCTATTGTCCGCCCGAAGCATTGTCTGTGATTGTACCTCTACTTCATGAAGCCATGAAGAACGGTTTAGCGACAGACAATTCGAAAAGCTGCTATGGGATGGCGCTGTTGTTTCTCGCAAACGTAGATCTCCAAAAAGTCAAATCAAAAGAACTGCTAGAGGCGGTAAGTACGCTTGATGAAATAAAAAAAGCGCGTGTAATTACAGAGCCAAAATCGCAACAAGTATATTTTTTCTAGTGCCAAACACTTGGGATTAAATGCACAAAGTACTCCTAGGTAGTGACTTACAAAGAATCGCATTTAGCCCTGCATATTTTATCACCCTAGCAGGACCTTTCAAACGGTTGAGGAAGTATGAACTATCACTGGCAGTTACGGAATTACAAGCAGCATATTTAAAGATTCTCTTAATAACGCCCCTAATTTCAATAACAAAATCATTAAGGACGAGCTGGGTCTAACAGAAAGCCAAACTGTTGAGATGGGAGAGTCCTCATCCAGCTAGCACTGAATCGTGAAATCATAAGCGACTAAAAACATCACAGTTGCTGGTGTCCTGGTGCATTTTATATTGACTAAATTCACCCATCTTAAAAGCGTTTTTCGTATCTCATATGGTGGAAAAAAGGAAAACACGAGTACGCAGTTTGAAGACTGACATTGTTTTTTGGGTTCTGTAAATCACGCCACATGGTTCAGACAGCATATATAGTATCGTGGTATCTGATGAGGTAATGCAGGGTTAATCCCGTGCCAGCTGTAGGACTAGTGAGGATTCACCTTAGAGTTTCGCTAGTGACACGTTTGTTATCTTTGTCGTATTTTTAGGTTAAAAGCCATTGAAAATTGCCTCTGTCTGTGAAAGGTATTCTGTTCATTTTTGTTCAACATAGACAATGTTAGACTACACAAAGGATGATTATTCTTATACCTGTTAACTGAATTTCAAACAGTGGAAATACCTATCATTGAATACTCGATCCTTCAAGATTCTTTTTGGCATTACATTTTATGGAATTCTGTGCCTTGCGCGTAAGTGCCTTAGGAGATTATATTACGAGCGTTGTATCACAAAAGGTGTTAGATATTTCCATATAGAATTTTATATTTTTATATAAAATTGTGTGAGGGCGGATATTAACAAAATAAAAATTGCATTCTATCGTGGACTTTCAGATATCTCTCTTGGGACAAATATATAAGCTGGCACCGAGTGCCCTCAGGGATATCCTTCCATGCTTCGCAAGTGTTTATAAAAACTGCCTTTTATGTTGCGCATCACAAAGAGATATCATAGTCCAGGCTCTCCTTAACGAGGCATTACATATTGCTGAGGAGACGAATGACTATGAACGACAGCTCGACTTGGTTGGTTTCTTCGAAGATCTGCAGAAACAGGGAGTTCGCGTGCCTACTGAGGCTTGTGGAGTCCTTGTCGCAAAGGCTACAGGTATAACAAATAGCACTGTATTAATGATATGAAAAGCACACCGAATTATGCTATCTAACGTCTTTGTAGAATTTATTATATTTTATATTAGACAGTATAGAGTTGATTGTAAGTATTTGGTTGCCTTTTCTTTCTAATAACCTTGTTGAGGCTATCTTTTATAGGTGTGTCTCTTATCAACCGAGTGTGCGGTATTCTTCTGTGGCTGGAAGAGACGAATGATAATATTGTTGACGATGAGATGATTGCCAAAGTCAAAGAACGAACGCAGGTATGGTACCCAATCGCAAAAGATAAGGCGCAAAGGATCCGAACTCTGGAAGTGATTCGAATCGAGCAGCCTAGTTTGTACCGATATATCAAAACAAGGAAAAGACAAGGACCTGCGGAAGGCTTGCAAGAGATCTTGTGAAGGACCGCTTTTCTAGCGGCTCATTATATTTTTATAATGAAGACCGAAGTTCATTGCCTGTGCACGCCCTATATAGGAAGTCTCTTAAGAACGTCACAAGTGTTCTTAGTATTCATGAAATTATAGCACATTTAGTATAAATAACTTGACGGGTCATAGAAAAATTAAGTACGGCACGTAATTGACACAATTACATATTATACGTCCAAGTCATATGACACATACTGAATTGACCATTCAAAAACAGTCCATGCCTTGAGTGTAAAGTGTGTGTAGATTGAGTATGATGTAAAAAATAGCCAATAATGTATATATGTAGATCATGAATACTGGGTGAGGCAGTTGTTGCATTGTAGCTCGTTATGAGGAATGATATTACTATTATTGACTATAAATTGGAAATAAAATCAAGTTGTGCGAAAAGCTTTCACGGACAACACAACATCCAATGAAGACAATTTTCTGTGTCATTTAGAGTATTTGTACAAAGTTTGGTATAATTAAATTGACTTATTCTCTCTCACACCGTGTAGCATTGACTTTTAAAAAAAAGTCAATTTAAAAAATAAAAAAACTCGAGTTTCATCTTTGGCTGCTCCGTGTAAGATTTCTATCGAGAATTCGATTAATGAAGAAGGAAAGCCAAGAAACAGTGCTGCAAAAACCAATACGGAGGAAGCTCATACATTGTAGTGCTATATCCTACGATATGTTTATAAATAATCATTTTAGTCCTTGCGTGCGATCGTCATCATAATGTTACGTGGAACTCAAGTTTGAATAATGTGATACTATGATACTCAGGCAACAGTGGCTCGATTGACAACCGTGTTGGAACCTAGCGTTGGCGTTATGGCAAGCTTAAGGGTAAGGCTCCCACAAAGAACGCTCGACAAATTTGGCAATTATGTGTTTATTTTCGGTATTTTTCTCCTGTAAGTATTTTTGCTTCTTCATAGTTTTAACCGCAGACCCCAGATAAAGCTGTTCAAAGCAGTAGCGGTGCTGCCATGTCACAGTTAATCAAAATGGCTATAGTAGTAACCTAATGTTTAGATAACAGATTCGTGTACAATAGAAACGAAGTTACAAAAAAGGTAGACTTATCGCTTATGTATTTATACATATATTTTTTTTATTTTCTGTGATTATAGACTCGATTGATAGCCTATATGTCAACAAAAAACATATATATCAGAACAAATTTTTTTGATAATTGTGGAAAGGATTTATGTTTGTTCCTTTCTGCGTCTTCTCGAGTACGTTTCGCTGCTTCAGGTCTCGCCAGCGACACAACTCTACTCAATTTGTTTTGCTGCGTGATTTTAATTATTTAATGCTGTAACATGCATTGTATTGTCACCAAGTCCGCCAAATTAGAGCTCAGCAAGGGCACATGTTCCATTAAGTATTAATAAGCCATGACGATTTTAACGAAAGTTTAGTGAATAAGCTTTCATTCAATCTGAGTGGCACATAACACATATATAATGTTTAACAAAAAGTATTATCTGTTAGAAATAAACTGAATCAAATACCTGCATTTTTGCTACGTGGCCCGCTTCCTTCTTTTGTGACTTTTGAGATCGAAATATTTTAAGCTTGTAGTCTAGAATATGAAGCTGTTCAAACACCCAAATTTGCATCTTATTGTTGAATTTCCTAGAACTTTATGCTTATACTTATAGCTTATATATGTATAATGTATAAATGTCATAGCTTATACCGTATTCCTGTGGTTAAGGATAAAAATAGGATCCTCCCTATAGCCGCGATGTCGTGCTACCTGGTTATACTTCAAGGATTTCATTACTTCAAATCCCAGCAATGTTCCTGGAAGTAGCGAAGCTGTGACCATAAACCAGTTTTGCATAAGTCATGTGTTCAAATCTGGATAAGCGCACAAAACAATATGACGGAAGTTCTTCTCGCAAAAAACACTAACTGCTTAGTGAGCAATTCACAAATATGCTGACGTGCAGTTTTCTGAAGTAGACGGAAGTTGAAAAACGTGAATACGAGAATAACCTGAAACTCACTCTAATCAGGAGGAAAGAAATATCTCCTTGAAAAGGTAAAAAAATGTTTTTATTACCACAAACACAGCGAAATAACTTAGAGGGAAGGTAGCTACGAAATCAAGAACGTTTATACCGTGGCTTTTCAAAATCATCGAAGGCTTATCAATAGAAGTTGCATGCCAAAGAGCCCAAAAATTAAAGGTTCTTAAGAGATTTTGCCAGTATAACATTCTCCCTCAGTATGTTGTTTTCGTATCCCTTTCGAACTACCACCTCTGTTCAGACACAGATGCTGACATGAACACAAGCCTGAAGCTATGAGCTTTGTCGCACCTAACGTCCAGATAAAAATCTCTCTTTTATTGAGTAATGACACTGGGTATGCATTATATAAAGTTTTTCATCCGTTGGATACCTGCTAAATGCAAGGAGTGCCATAACTTTATGCCATCGTAATAAAAGTTTGAATCGAGGCATCTTTGCCTAGTACTCCTTATATATACATGAAAATGCTAGTGGAAATTGGTAAATTAGCTGAGCTATTGACAAGTTAGACATACTCTGAGGTTTATTATTACAAATCATCATTCATTCGTATTTTCTGCGATAACTGACCAATAAAAATATCCAATATTTAATCTAAGTATTTCAGAGCGGCTTCTTATATATTAGTGCTTTGTGCGAAATGGAAATAATACTTCGACTTTTTTGGTGCTAGCGCCGAATATAATTATTTAAGGGTAAATTAAGTTCTTAGTATATATTATTATAATAATAGTAGACTCCGAGACGCAAAAAACTTGCTTAAAAACTAGAGTCAATCACTTCTGAAAGACTGCGTGTAGATTCAAGTGAAACAGCTCATCAAGTCGCGTAACCGCGAGGTCAAGCGCTTACCTCACGACAGGTGGCACTGTAAGTAAAGTTGAATGGAAAAGGGTTGTACATATATTTTTGTCAAAAAAAAAACAATTTATATAGAACAAATTTAGTAACAATCTACAAACGATTAAAAGACCGTACGCTCGCGACAACTAAGTAATTACGTCAGTTTCCATTGAGAATAAGAAATTTGCACTGTGTTGTAGATCCACATGGAAAAAACCAAAGTGTGTAAAAATGTCTGCGATACGTTAGAGGGATTTTTTTTTCTGACGACTGACAAACGTTGAAGTTGCAAGGCAAAAATATTTAAAAAAATCAAGTGCCTTTAGTGTAAAAAACTAAGTTTTTTTTTTTAATTTTATTGTATGACTCTTCGAAACTGTTTAAATTTTAAGAGAGAACACGAAGATTTCGAATATAGCTTCGAACATGCAAATAGTTTATTTGCTAGTCTGTATATGGGACAATCATTTATGCTACCTTCGGCGTCTAAGTAGCGTCTCTTGAATGCTATTCGCTTTGTGTCGCGGGGCCATGATGGTCCCGTCAGGTCTGCTGGTGTCAACTCTTCTGTTGTTGCGGGACAGCGTCGTCGCATCAGTTGCTTACCCTTACCTTGATAGGCAGAACGTTCTGCCGTTGATGGCCATGCTGATGTTGTTGCTGACGGCTGTGACAAATCCATGCTTTCGATAACCGATAATAGTTATAGTCGCCTTGCACGCTCATCGTATCTGACGAGAACGCGTCTACAATGAAGACAGTATCGTCATTATGGTACTGCTATGGCAGCAATTTTTCTTCTTGTTCTACAGTGTCTTCATGCTGATAATAATGGCGATGTCGTCGCCCAAGATGGACCCCTTAGATCAGCACCAAGTGTTATGCTAAACATTTTATTCCCAAGCTCCAACGATGCAGCTATCGAGACTGAGTAGAGATGTGCGATAAAACCCTGCACACTAAGCTTACCTCTGATCAACATCACAACATTCGTATATCGGCTGTCCAGCTTGACCTTGGCAAAATGTTGAATTGTTCTTTCCGCTATTGTCGCTTATCGATGGTACCATACCAGCTGTGCTTGCATTCACACATTGGTCGGACATAGTCGAGCATAAAATGGCGATGCGGATCAAATGTAGTCTCCTTGAGCAACATGCCGTTAAGTCTATTGAGTCCATACAATAGCCAATCAACGTATCTCAAAGAATCCCTCTATGCGCATCCGACTACCAGCGAACCGCCTGTGTGAGAATCGTATTCATACGTCGACACAACATGTCCATGTTATATTTATAGGTTAATGCGTTGCGATCGGTGACGTGTAGTATCTCCGTGTACGAAATGTGCTTGCTCAGATCGCTTATGGCAATAACCGACCGACCGGTGTATCCAGCCCACCGCTCGTCGAGCAACTTCTGAAAAACCACTTTGGTCGGACGTGCAAATATGCAGCGAATCACAACAATTGTTTTCTATGTCCTGTTGAAATTGAGTCCGACACTAGTGGCATATTTTTTGACCATATTAACCTAAGGCATACACACTGTACAGGGTTCTTCGCCTTAGGCACTCTGACGCGCACTTACTGCAGGCCGCAAAGGCGCACACACAACTGCCATTACCAGTACAGAAGAAGAATCAAATGCTTTTGCTCAGTGGCTTAGGTTTACCTGCCCCTCCGTCCATATCCTCTTGTCGCTGTTTGTACTATACCACCAGTTTGCACAACTTGAGGTGCGTTCGCTTGTTCAAAAGCTGCCGCCTCGAAGTAGCTGGCATCTTGTTTCTATCAAAAACACATAACTCCAAAGGTAACGTGTTCGTTTTTCACAGGTTTCTTTTGCAATCACAGCTAAGCGAAACGGACGCCTTCTCCAACTCCGCTTTAGTCTAGCTATTTGACGTTTCTGTAGATACACTTTGTTGGCGTAGCGTGTGTTAGTCGTCATAAACCATCTGATCGACTCGAACGTGACCTCCTTGCGACGTTGCCCGTTTATTCAGCTCACTCCGCTCTGACTGCCTACTTAACAACACCTGTGCGGCATAGGGTACTGTCACGTCTGTTGCCTTAACGGCAAACTAGTGCGATACTATCTGAGATATTAAAATCATAATCACCAACTACGGTTCGGGCAATCGCTAGCGTTTGGGTTCGCTCCGATAAACTATCTTGGCATTTTGGCTTTACTGAGTTTAGTTAAATTAGTACGGTACATTGTGGCTTAATTTCTATAAATGCTGCGCATTTGTCTTCAACTTCCAATTACTATATACTCGTAGCTCTAATAAACCCTATTAATCACCTAACTGCACAGCAGTAATCGAATATTGTTTTTGTTGAAGCTCAAATAAGTTCACCAACAGCTCGCTGTGCTAGTTATGCTTATTGCTAACAATGTTATGATCAGTCTCTAAAAATGCAATCAACATACTACATTAACACAGATGATTCGCTTCCTCGGAGCTAGCCGTTTGACGGACGCCTAACGACGATAACCAGAGGGAAAACTCGAAACATAGAGATAATTCACTCGCGATGAACAATTCATGGTGATTTGTTTCAAATCATGATGGTCAGCATATGACAAGTCGCCTATATTTCATAGATTTGTGGTAATTGCATTTCATTATTAAAATTTAATTATATCTATGACGTCCGTGTTATTGTGCAATACGATGGTTTCCGAGGGTTTGGCAAAATGCGAATCGGTAGAGTGGTCACTTGCCCTTCCAAGTTAGTGTCTTGGCTTTATGTTCATATTGTCTGACAACATAAGAAATTGATAGCATTTATAGAGGCATCATCGGTGTTTTTCGCTAGACTTCAGCAGTTACAAATATGCCAATGATAAACCTTTCGAGGCGTAAGCAATCAAAACTGTAATTGATAACCAAATAAGTAACAAAAGTTGTAAAGCCTATTACGAAAGCCCGAAATGAATATCTTGATCTTGAGGCTCTTTTTTATCTACTTCAATCTATAACACTTCAGGAATCTGTATCTACTTTGATTTGCTGATCTGTGTTACTGAATTTGACTTTAACAAAAAAAAAAAAAAAAAAGAAAAAGGCAAAACTGAATTAATTCATGTAGAAAGGCAAAAAATGAAGCTACATAGGAGCATCTAAATAAGCACAATTTCGAAATATCCAGTATGTGCTGCGCGCGGGCGTGCGTGTGTGTGTGTGTGTGTGTGTGTGTGTGTGTTCTCGTACATGGGATTGCTAATATTAACAAAGCAATAATAACTATTTTCGTAGATGAAATACAAGAATCGCTCAAAAGGATAGCTTCACTGGTATTAATACGACTTTTTATTTAGAAAAATTTGGAAAATGTGCTCAATAGCTTCACTCGCCAATTGAATCTGTGCTATTACACATCAGACCCGGTATATCAGGATGACGCTACTACTTGGCTGTTGGGGACAGTTGTGCTATTGATCGTTTCTATAGAATGTTATTTAGCGTTTTCCAATGGAAACGCTCGATAT